CCATTGCTTGGCAGAGCGTGGTGTCAGGTCTGCAAAGCATCTTCTTGAGAAGTGTGCACGTGATGGCTCTGATGTCTATGCAGCCTTACTTAACCTGCGCAACACCCCTAGGGATGGCTTACCTTCTCCAGCGCAACGTCTACTGTCCCGACGCACCAGGTCTCTGATCCCCCTGGTACCATCCCAGCTCACACCGAGAGTTGAGTCTAATGTTCAGGCAGCTTTGTTTGCACTCAGACAAAAAGGGAAGAGAAGCCATGACAAATCTGCCAGATTTCTTTCGCCTCTGGAGCCTGGGCAGACGGTAAGGATGGAAACGACCTGTGGGTTTGACAAACTGGCCACGGTTTCTGGAAAGGCTCTTCAACCCAACAGTTATGTCGTCCAGTCTAATGGCAAAGCCTATGTGAGGAACCGTCGCCACCTTCTACAAGTACCTGAATCGTACTGTCCTACCATTACCATGTCTGTACCTATGATCTTTCCTGAACCCCAAGCAAATCCAAGTGCTGTAGTGCCACATGCCATTTCAAAAAATGGATGTGATGTGCCGTCACCACAGCACACTGACAGTTCCAAGCAAGAGGATCCAAACTCACAAGCTTCTCTGTTTGTCACTCGATCAGGAAGAGTCTCCAAGCCTAATTTAAGGTTCAAAGACTTTGTCACACACTGAGTGTTCATACAGCATGCCATGCTTATGATACATGGAGCATAAGTTACATGTTATTGATGTTTGTTTACATGCTGAACCCTTTTCCTTCTTTTCTTTGGTTTATGTTAGGTTATCTGTTTAAAAAAAAAAAAAAAGAAGAAGAAAGATGTAGAACATGTGTGTGTGTTGCACATACATGTGTTTATGGGAGCTGCATGTTTGGAGATGTACATGTGGGGGCAGAGATGAGTAAAGGGGGACGTTGGTTCTTATTCAGTGGTAGTGTAGTATAATCTTCCGCTAATCTGAGGAACCACACTCAGTCTTGGGTTTTGATGCCAGAAGGTACACTTTATTACATCAAGAATAAAGTGGAGAAGTTCTCTGCAGAGAAATCTCCAGAATGTTTTTCTGCCTCTCTTCTTATACAGTTTTGACTTTAAGGCGTGGGGTATACACAGTGTTGGGGAGTAACTAGTTGCATGTAACGGAATTACGTAATTTAATTACAAAATAAAAGTAATTGTAATCAGTTACAGTTACTGAG